TTTAACCTGCAAGTATGGGGAAAGTAGGGTGGTTGAGTTATGCGATGGCATGTTTATGCTTGATAGCTGCCACTACTGCGATTAGACTTGAGAGTTATGGTAATTCTCCACCCAAAACACCTCCAACTTCATCTACGCCATCTCCACCTGCAACTCCAATATCTACGCCATCTACTCCACCACCGGCATCTAAAACTCCATCTACGCCATCTGCACCGACACCTCCAACTACTCCATCTACGCCATCTCCACCTGCAACTCCATATACTCAACCACCGGCACCTAAAACTCCATCTACTACTCCACCACTGGCACCTAAAACTCCATCTATTACTCCACCACCGGCACCTAAATCTCAATCTACTCCACCAGTATACGGACCTCCACATACTTTGCTGGAGGCGATTCCGCTTGACGGTTATGCTAATCCTCCACCGACACCACCTACAACTCCATCTACGCCATCTCCACCGACACCTCCAACTACTCCATCTACACCATCTCCACTGACACCTGCAACTCCATATTCTCCACCAGGTAAGACCCCACCAACGCAGCCCAAAACACCGACAACTCCATCTCCTCCAAATACTCAATATGGACCATCTACTCCAAATAAGCCATCTACTCCACCGACACCACCTGCAACTCCATCTACGCCATCTGCACCGACACCTCCAACTACTCCATCTAAGCCATCTCCACGGACACCTGCAACTCCATATACTCCACCAGTTAAGACCTCACGGTGGCCTCCATATACTTAATTAATACATAAGCTTAAATCTCCATGTTTCCCAAATCTTTCTAATTACTTATTTAGGATATGGAGATAGAATACCATGGAATGTCTCTCTTTTGATCAAGTCGAGTTACCTTGCCAGATACTTGTTATCTCGCTTCTTGTCTTGTAACATTTTCTTATTCCAATAAATGGGGTCTCAGGCCGAGATACCTACGAATATGCTTGAATATGTTATCTATCTTTGTACTGATGGTTTCATTTACTTTGTGTTTCCAATTCCAAAAGAATCAACATATATAGTAGCGATATATAGATGCTCAACTTAATTAAGAAATCACTCAAGGATTGTTTTGGATATATTCTATCTTGCCTAAAAGGGATTTGTAATGAATAATAAGTGAAAATAAATCTTATTTATATTTTTGCCTAAATGAGATTACATTTCCGCACAAAGAAGCATAGCTTTTTCAATTCTTTTGCGTTATATTTGAAATCCATTTTTCTTTTTCTTTTTTTTTTATTACATATCAATATCTTTTATTTTTTTAATAAAACTTAAGAGTTTAATTTTTCTTTGTTGTTTACATATAACGTATTATATTGATCACTTTTTTTATATCTAATATAGTCCATATTTATTGTAAATATAAATAGCAAAAAAATAATTATTATAATTGTATTATAAAACTTAAGCTTATAACAATCACTATTGATTTAGAAATAACTAATGAGACTCACAGTATAAGAAATGATGAAATTCTAACGAAAATAAATTCCTATAGAATTTTAATAACAATTTCAATGGACATTTCAATGATATTATTATCGTTGAAAATTTTCAATGGATCATAACGAAAATTCCAACAAAAATATTTCGTTGAAATGAGTATTTTATTATATTTTGACAATTCCAATAGTTGAAATATGGGTGAAACTAAAACATCAACAAAAATTGCATATTCCAATAGAAATTCATACACTAATAAATTGCTAGAAAAATAACCGTTGGAACTGTCAAATTCCTTCTAAAATTCCATTTAAAATTAAAATATAATTTTAGAGATTTAATTATATTTACAATTTAATTTTTTTATTAGAATACTTATGACAATGTTCAAAAATTTAACACTTTTTATTTAATAATAAAAACAAAATTATTGTATAGGATATTAATAAAGTAGAAAGAGAAAAAAGTAATTAGATGTGCATATATAAATACTCTAGCCATCTTAATCCTGACATAATATTTATATTAAAACTTTTTTTTTTCCAACGATATCAAATCTCCATTCAAAATCAAATAGCCGTCAAACGGCAATTGTACACAAATGTCGACTCCAATAACCTGGGTAACTGAGAGGAAAGCATACAACCTTCCTAAACATAACTAACATCATCACCAAATCAACTCACCATAACAGCTATGACAATGACCCTACAACAGATAACAACAATCACATAATACAGTTCCACCACAACACCATAGCAACACAACCAAAAAGATAACATAATAGACAAATCACTGACACTAGACCATAGCAACACAACACCATATTAAAACTTATTGTGTATAAATATACATCAAGTATTATTGAAAATTTTTATATTATAGAAAAATAAAAAAAGATGAAAAAATATTAGATAATAGTTTTATTCAATATTCATTCACAATGTAATGCATGTGGTTTATCATTGAAAAGGTTTGTATTTATTTAAAATATTATATATAATATATATATATATATATATATTATATATATATCTATATATATATGATCACGCTCCGGTGAGAATGGTGCTCAGTGAAAGAAATGAGAATAAATCATAGCTATTAGATCATCTAATCTAATGGCTTAAAAAAAGTCAAAATTATACACACATTAAGGGTAATGTAATAATTAGCACAACACACCTCCACTCCATATTAAATTACCTGCCAACCACTCTCAAACACACCAACACACACCATACACACCAATACGCATGCACATCAACACACACCCACACACACAATCAGCTACCATCTTCACCACCGGCGCCGCCGCCCCGCCACCATCTCTGCCTGCCAGAATCCCCACAGCGCAGCACTCACCGCCGCCATCTACACACACAGACACACTAACACACACACACACACACACACACACACACTCACAAATACGACGCCCATACACAGACACCGTCGGTCATCAGCGCCACCCGCCAATTGCCGCCGCTAGCCGACGTTCGCTGCTGCTGGAAACCACCGAAATCCGCCACTGTAGGATCCGAACGGACATGGATTCACAAGATCTAAGCAGATCGGTAGGCTCCTCAACGCCATCTACTAGGGCCGCCCACGACCGCCATCTATCCCGCCCCTCGCAGCCGCCGGAATCCGCCATTAATCCTTCGAATGTACATGGCTTCACTAAATAAGAGCAGATCGACTGACTCTTCAGCACCATCGACCAGCGCCGCCAACGACCGCCGTCAATCTGCCGTTCGCTGCCATCTCGTCAAGCCGCCGGGCAAGATGGCTGTTGTGCAATGTCCAGTGACGGAATGAAGAATGAATTTGGATTGTGGGGTCTTTTCTTTGAGAATTTGACAATTTAAAAGGATGCAATTGCAATTTCAATATTTTTGGGTCTTCAAAAACCAAAGGCAAAGCGAGAAGGTTGTAGTAGATGGGGCTTACTCGGAATGGCTAGAATTCTCCTCTGTTTAATTGTTTTCTATCTTTTTCTCCTTGTGTTATTAGTTCTAGCTAGGCTTGATGCAGTGGCGAGGTGATATTATTTCGACAGTTGGTAAACCTCAAGGCCTCAGTACTTGTACTGCCCGATAGGTGAACCAATTGCCCCTTACTTCGCTCCTAGGCCAACAGTTTTGGTCCTCTATTTCTTTGTGTTTTTAAGTTGCCATGTTTTGGGTATGTGTTTAGTTTAGTTGTAATGTGTTGTAAGTCTGGTCTGAACATTTTGTACTCTATTTCCTTTTCAATGCAAATATTTTTCGTTTTGAAAAAATAAATAAGCAAGGTACACATTGAACATGATGAAAAATCCATCAAAGTATTGAAAGTTTGAATTTTGAAAACAAATCCATGAAAAACCAATTTTGTGCCATCAGTATTTGATTGCCAGAAAAATAAAGTTATCAAAATCAATTAAAGAAATATGCAAATACATAAAATAAATTTAAAGAAAAAAACAAGAACTTACTTGGAACTTGAAAATTCATAAAGCCTTCCTTTGGGAGAGAAAATGATCTAAGCAACTTCTGCATCACAAAGCACAGAAAGCTCATAAGCCTTTTTCAAAAGCCCATTCCTACGCTTATAGAACGACACTTGCCGGCTTGTTGAATTCTCGATCCGCTTCATTTGGACCTTTCCCCTCACCATTTTTTTTGTCTACAAAATTTACAACATATAGGATTCAAACAGTTAAAATTAACCTGAAAAATGATTGTGAAGAAAAAAAAAAATCAAACCTTATTACCTGAGAGTTACAGCAAGAAAGCAAGATAAAAGCAACTTGGAAAGTTGTTAATTGTATTGGAGGAAAATGGCCCAAAATTTCCAAAAAGAAAATTAAATAGGAACAAACATTGTGGTCTTCTATGAGATTATATCATCAGTTTTAAATAGCAGGAAAGAAAAAAAAAATAAAGGGTCGGTGTTAAAGCTGGTCAACACAACCATGCTGGTCAACACAACCATGCACTCGTGGAAAGACAAAATCCACATCAGCTTGGATATGCGGCAAATCATGTGGAATGTGTGCATGCATTGATGAAGAAAGAAGACAAAAATATGCAGGCTTTATGTCAGCCTTTTTCACATGATCCAAGAGTGTATAACAAAGCCACTTGTCATCATCCAAGCTAAAGGAGAAGGATAGGATTATACCTTTATTGTTTTCTTTGCTTTTGTTACCCTAACAGAGAGCATATATATAGGATCATTTTCTTTTCTTGTAAGCAATGCCGTCACTGTTACATTGTATGTGAAAAACTCAGATCTGAAGCTTGAGTTCAATTAATGAGAATGTCGACCATTAGTGCAAGTTCAATTTTCTTCTTTAATGGTTTACCTTATTTTTCTATCTTGGTATCTGATATCCTCCCTTTCTTTCCTTTTTGCTCTCTTCCTTTATCTAGCTTCATCCATGGCAGATGAGAGCTATACCAGCATAGGGTCTGAACAAAATCCCATTGTCAAAACCTAACCTCAAATAGTTTATCCTCTAAGACAACTTATCTCTGTGAAGCGAGATGAATCAAACTATCTCATTTGGAAACAACAAGCTCTCACCACTATCAAGGCTATGGCATGGAATCCTTCATTGACAGAAATGGACCAACTCCAGAAAAATTCATCTCAAATCAGGAAGGTAACATTGAGGTAAATCCTGATTTTTCAACTTGGCAAAGGCAAGATCAGATTCTTGCCTCTTGGATTCTGTCTTCTCTCAGTGAGAACATCCTTATCTTGACTGTTGGCTTAGAATCTGCAAAAGAAAGTTGGTTAGCTCTTGAAAACAATTTTGCAACACAGTCACAAGCCAAGATAATGCAGTATAAAATTTTATTGCAATCTCTGAAGAAGACTGGTATAGCTATGAAGGAATATCTTAGCAAGATGAAGAGCTATTGTGATGTGTTAGCCTCTGTTGGTCATAATATTTCAGAGAGAGATCAAATTCTCCATGTCTTGAGTGGTTTGCCAAGTGAATATGATGTTGTTGTTGTGAGTGTGACCTCAAGGGTTGAACCCTGCACTTTAGCTGAGTTACAAGCCCTACTCTTGAGCTATGAAGCTAGAATGGAATCCAACAATACCACTGGAACAACATTGAACTCAGAAGGATCACAACCATCCATCAACTCAGCAACTCAAAGTCATCAAAACAGAAACTTCAACAATAATTTTCAAAACAACTTTCAAGGGAGCAGAGGTGGTCTCAGGAGTTTTCAAAATGGAAGAGGTGGCCGCTTTGGTAGATATTCTAGAGGAAGGGGAGGCAGGTACAATAACTCAAAACCTATATGTCAAATATGCCAAATCCCTGGGCACACTGCAGACAGATGTTGGCATAGGAACCAAAATTTAGCCCAAAACAACACTGGTTTTGGACAACAAAGTCATTCTATGAATCCTGCCATCAACCTTGCACAAATGGGCCCTCAATATGGACCTTCTTATGCAACCAACTCAGGCAATAGATCAGAAGCTAGTTGGTTTCCAGATTCAGGAGCTACAGTTCAGGTTACAAATGAATTTAGCAACTTGAACATAGCATCTTATTGAGTATACGAGCATAGTACTTAGTATACTTGTTTATATATTTTTATGTAGCTTAAGGAGTTAGCTACTCGAGATCAACACTTACAATTTTTCAAAGGAGAAAGGTGGGGACCCAGACTGGGTATTACATTGAGTATAATATTGATATCATGTTCGAGGTATGTATACAGTTTAAGTTTATACGCTTGGGATGAGGAGGCATTCAGTTGTCTCAGAGTATATCCTAAGTTCTGATGGAGGCCGTTTGAGTTTCCTTGAGAAGTATCCATCAGATTGTGCACAAGTATCCGATCAGATATCGGCCAGATTCAGTTTAAGTTACTGGAACAGATTTCCAGTCCAGATATATACCAAAGATCAAGATATTGTATTATTATTGTTGTTTACTTTAGTATGGGTGATTTCGGGGTACAAGAGGATCAGTACTCACCCCCATTGTGTTTTTCAGGTAACAGGGTCGGGCCGGAGGTGTGAGCTCGAGATGTGGTGGTGGTGGTCGTGCACTTATTTCATGTGGACATTTATTAAGTATTTGATATGTCTGTATAATAAAACACGTTTTTAAGTATTTCCGCTATGCACATTAAGTATTGAACTTGCCTTTTTAAATAAATTTCAGATTTCAAGTTTATACCATTTCGAGAAATATGAATATGGTACAGTTAAATGCAAGTTTAAAGGAAATCTGTTTTCTTTATGTCTAGAGAAGTATTAGACAGAAAGTTTAAAGATAAACGGATTTTCAAGAAGATGAGTTTGAGTAGCATCTCGAGTTAGTCGCAAAATATTTCGAAAGAGTTATAAGTATTTTCGAAGTAAAAGTTGCGAAAAATTTACTCTGATGAGCGGGGTGTTACAGGTGGTATCAGAGCTAGAGCAAGTGCTCTGTATACTAAAAGTTTAAGTTTCAGAAAACAGTTTCAGGAAAACCGACCACACCACACTCACACCTCGCCGATTACCAGGTAAGTGTTGTTACAAGTTTTTATGAAAGTTTTTATATAAGGAAATTACTAAGTCTTTGCTCAATAGGATTCGGATATCCAAATTTTAGAAATCAAAAAAGATACTCAGTCAAAGATTTTAAGAAATATCATATTACTCCCTGTAAGATTTGAGAAATTCAGTGTTATCGAGTTAATAAGTAACTCGTATAGAAATATTGGCTTATCTTGAAATTATTGTTTAATTTCTAATTGTGCTAAAATTTATTATGGGATGAATAATCCAGATGGCACGAAGAGTGAATCAATGTCAAAGAGAGATGACATCAGCAGAAGTAGTTGCCTAATTTCGTGGCTACAATGCTCAGATGTTTTCTGGACAAGGAGATCCTCGTCTGGTGGAAGAATGGATCCAAGGTCTGGAGACAATCTTTGAGATTACTGAGTGCTCGGAGAAACATCGCATTCTCTGTGCTCAGTTGCAAATGACTGGAGATGCTCGTCTCTGGTGGAATTCTTACTGGGGCATGCGTCCTGGTGAGAAAGAGAATCTCACTTGGCCCCAGTTCAAAGAGATGATGAATGATAAGTACTATCCTGACTACTATAAGGCTAAGATGGAACGTCAATTCCTGGCTCTAGTCTAGGGAAATCGTTCAATAGATGAGTATGAACGAGAATTTACTAGGTTGGGATCCTTTGATCCCAATTTAATGGAGACGGAGGCAAAGAAGGCGAGACATTTCCGAGATGGCCTGCTACCCTCGATCCGTCATCATGTCGCCGGACACAATATTCAGACTTATGCTGATATTGTGGCCAAGGCTCATGAGATCGAGGCTAGTTTCAATAGGGGAGATAATCAAGTTGTGATACAGCCATTATCACAATTTCCAGCTGTACCACCAGCTCAGTTGTTACCTGTTCAGCAAGAAAAGAATGGGAAGAACAAGAGAAAGTGGAAAGGTCACAAGAATGACCGAAAAAATAAGCAGAAGCAGCAAGGTGAACGGGTTCCAGCCTGTGCCAACTGTGGAAAGCATAACAGAGGAGAATGTCTAGCTGGACAAAATGTATGCTACCATTGCCGAAAGCCTGGGCATGGCATGAAGTTTTGTCCAGCAACAGCTTCAGGGGCAACCTCAGCAGCAGAGGGGAGGAGGACAACAAGCCCAGGTTTATGCTATTAATCAAGCTGAAGCTGAGCGGAACCCAGGTACCATGTCTGGGATGATTATTTTAAATGAAATGCCTATTTTTGCATTATTCGATACTAGAGCAACACATTCATTTGTGTCAAAGAGATGTATAGACGCAATTGGAGTTAAGATTATTAACACTATTGACCCTCTTGAGGTAAGTTTAGCCTCAGGAAAGAAAATAGAGACAAGCTCTAAGGTAGAGAACCTTAGTGTTAATATTGGAGGAAAAATCTTGAGATTAGAGGCGTATGTTATCGAAATGAGGGATTTCGATCTCATACTTGGAATGGATTGGTTAACGAATTATCGAGCTGATATTCGTTGCCATGGGAGAGAGGTAATTCTTTATCTTCCAGAAGGTAATCAAATTACTTTCTATGGTGCAAAGATAAGAACCCTACCACGTGTAATCTCTATGGCGAAGGCGAGTAAGATTCTGCAAAGGGAGGATTGCCAAGGATATTTGGTGAGCATTGTCGAAAATGATTCGAAAGCACAAACACCTCATGATATTCCAATTGTTCGTGAGTTTGTGGATGTGTTTTTGAATCAATTACCCGGAGGACCACCCAACAGACAAGTGGAGTTCACAATTGACCTTGTTCCAGGAGCAGCACCAGTGTCGAAGGCACCATATCGAATGGCACCGAAGGAGTTACAAGAGTTGAAGACTCAAATCCAGGAGTTGTTGAAGCTTGGTTTCATCAGACCAAGTGTTTCCCCTTAGGGAGCACCTGTACTATTTGTCAAAAAGAAGGACGGATCCATGAGGATGTGTATCGATTATCGGGATTTGAACCGATTAACGATAAAGAACAAGTATCCACTCCCAAGAATAGATGATTTGTTCGATCAGTTGGGAGGAGCTTGAGTATTTTCTAAGATAGATTTACGTTCAGGCTATCATCAACTGAAGATTAAAGAATCTGACGTAGCAAAGACTGCGTTTCGAACAAGA